TAAAAAAAAAAAAAAACAAATTTTAATTTGGTACCAACATCAGAGTAGAGCAATGGGAGATACAACCAGATCTTAAAGTCAAAACACCTTCTCCCCACCCCTCCCTTCTTCCGGGGCTCAGCTTTTGTTCCCGGTTTCTCCCCCTTCCCCCTCCCCGTTTGCCTTGAGGCGCAGGGGGATGGGGGTGGGGGTTTGCGGTCGGTTTTCCCGCCACATGACGTGCTTTCTTAGGAGTAGGGAAAAATACCCTCAGCCCGGGGTCTCCCTCTGCTTCCACGTGGCCCCCTTTCCATAGGAGAAAAAAAGTCCTCAAAACTCCAATATGGGTCTGCCCATGATCACAGTTCCCTCACACACGACCAGTTGACCCGGCTCTCGCCATGGGTTGCAAAGGGGAAACCTGGGTTCTGCGTCCTCCTCCTCCTCCCTCTCTTTTCTTTCCTTCAAACCGACCTTGGTGTTCTTCAAAGTTGTTCTCCTTGGGCCCCACTCCTTTCTCCGCTGCAGGTCTTCTCCGATGGTTATGGAGATCCCGGCTCTCTCTCTTTTTTTCGGGATGAGCTGCAGCGGGGCTTAAGCTGAAGTTGCAGTTGGGGCCAGGCAAGTCCAGCTTGGCCCTGGTCAGAGGTGGGTCTGACAAAGCAAAGGGGGAGCTTTTCAGGTAGCTTCTTAAAAGGCCATCTCTACAGCACTTCACCTGTTACCAAAGACACAACCAAAAACCCCCTCACAGAAAACCCAATACAAAATTGTATGTTTTTTCTTTCTGAATTGGTTGAGCTGAACTAAAATTGTAAGTTTTTTTCTTTTAATTACACTATTTTAGTGTAGTCCTTTAGAAAATTGCTATACCTTTCACTCAGAATGAAATACTAATTCTCGGAAAGTTAAGTTTCATTGATTATTCACTAAAGTTACTCATTGGTGTTCAGAAATGTTTATTTCTTATTATGTTTTATTTGCCTGTAGGAGTAAACATACAGGGCCAAATTAGTGGGAGATTAAAATTTTCTGTAGCAGTCAGCAATCCTAGAGATTAGAATTTGTGCCTGGAGTACTAGAAATGGAGTTTCAGGTACAGAGCTGTGCTACATTTCTTTTGTAGACATTTCAGTCAATGTGAGAACATTTTCTGCTGAGTTTCATGGAAGCTATCATTCTGCTATCTGTGGCAGTAGCATAGTTCTTCTGCAAAACAAAAGTCAAAGTACTCTAATTTATTGTGATTGCAATAATTTCAGTGTTGTATGTCAGTAGAATCAATATGAAGTATTTCAAGAACAATATATCAGAAGCCTCTATATATATAATGTTTTTTGCGAATGTTTGCTTGCTGGAACTTTTATTTGCAAAACATTTTGAGTAATCTTTAAATTTAAAGTTTGTTTTTGTTCTTGCGTTAAGATCTCTAGTTGGCAAACAGTTTAAGTTGCAAATGGTTTGTTCATGAGTTTGATTTCTAAAGCTACACAAAACAACTTGTCCATATGGTTTGTTCATTTATTATTCACCAATGGATGATTGTGTTTTGAGAGCAGAACAAATTCCTTCTCTCACTGATAATGCCATGATGTTATGGCAGAAATTGGCCTACACTCACTCACTGCTTTCCTTTGTGTAAAGAAGAAAACAAGCAGCTCAGGACAGTTTTGACTGCATTGCATTTTCTTCGCAATTTAGCTGAGGATTGTTTTAAGGGAAAGAAAATAAGGTATTTTTAATCTAGGGAATGCTCTGTGTTTGATTTTAGAAGTATTACCATACCTCTTATTTTGGATCTGTGGCAGTAGATCCCAGAGGCCTTCACTGACACTACGGGCATGTTGTAAGGGAGGTGTTCCTGTTGCACAAGTGGCTGCCATAGCTCTCTGCCCTATAGCATTTCTTTACCCACCAGCAGGGGCTATTCAGGTCACACAGGAAACTGTAAGTAATTTTAGACAGTCATGCATTTTTCAGTTGTTTTTCTTTAATGAATTAGTTTTCTCTTCCATAGCTCTACCTCAGTTTACTGTTACTCCTCAAGACAAAACAGTGATTGAGGGCCAAACTGTTGACTTCCCCTGTGAAGCACAAGGCTATCCTCAGCCTGTTATTGCCTGGACTAAAGGAGGTAAGCTTGTCCCAGTTTTAGTTTTAAACTACTAGAATAGTTTAGCTGTCATTTTGGAATCAATCATGCATTGAAAGAAATTGCATGTATTTGTGTAGAAGATGCTTCAGTCTGAAGGAAACAGGGCTCGTCTTTTTCTGCTTTCGCTAGAAAAGGCAGGATATCCCACAGAAGCTAGCTGCCCAGGCACTTTTCATTATTTAGTAAGCAAGAGTCACTAAAATACATTTTCTCATAATAGATTCCTAATAATAAATGTTTAAGACAGACAAGATAAATGTCATGTGGCAATACCTAACACTGCCTGTTTACTGCAGAAGAAATGGAGATAACTGTCATTAGCTGAAGATCTGAAATTAGGTGGGATGTGCTCTCTTCAGAAACCAGAACAGTACAACCTGTAACTGGCATCAGTATAAATGCATTTCTGTCCCTTAATGCACATTGACAGGAATACTGGGTTGCACTCTGCTGTCTGTTTTATCAGGTTGTGGCTGTAAAGTCTTTAAGCCAAATTCAGTGGAAAGGAATACCATAGTGAATATCTTAGCAGTAAGTAAGTATTCTGGTTGAATCAAATGAAGTAGTGCTAGCAGGCAAAGCAGCGCTTAAGGAATTCTCAGTTATGGTAGATAAAACAGATTTTTAACAAACTCTTGATAATTTTGATGCTGATAATGTCCCTGTTTCTCTCTTTACCAAGATTGCATCAATCAAATGAAATGTCCAGAAGGAAAGAATAGAGTACAGACACTGATGTACCTTTTATTTATTATATTCCATTTTTCAGGGTTATATGTATCTTTCTATGGATTCTCTAGATGGCCTAGGCAGATGAGATTGTGTCTTACATACATGGCAATAATATAAAATGGGCTGTAATACTTGTTGTTTTTCTTCTTATGTTGTCTTCTCATTTGAATGCTTTATCATGCTCTTTAAATGAAAATACTTATTTCTACCATAAACAGAGAAGAGATCAGGATTATAATTGTGTGCAGATGTACATTTTGTTTGCTTTGTGTGTTTATCTTCAGGGAAGTAAAGGTTTCAACCTTTTTTTTAAAAAAAAAAGAAGACTTCTTTTTTTTTCCAATGCTTTATCAAATTTTGAATCTTCTGGATTTCCCTTCTTCTGACATAAAGGGACTTTGTTCTGCACTGCTATAAATAGCAAATGCTGTTGCTCTGTGTTTCAGGAGGCCAGCTGTCTGTTGACAGAAGACACTTAGTTCTGTCCTCTGGAACCCTGAGGATTTCCAGGGTTGCTCTGCATGACCAGGGACAGTATGAATGCCAAGCTGTCAATATTATCGGATCTCAACGAATTATTGTGTACCTGACTGTACAGCCCAGAGGTATGGTCTCCATGTACAGCTGTTGAAAAAAAAAATTAAGTTTACGCTAAAATGCATAGTACTGTGTTTGATTTATTTATTGAAAATTAATTATTTTTGATGGCACAAAATGTTAATATGAAGTAGTTAATCTTCATTTAGAATTTAAAAAGCTTTTGAAACAGAGCTTGAACAGTGCTTAGGTTTTTCTTCAAGACTGCATTTTACAGTGAATCTAAGTTGCTGGTTTTGGATTATAAGGTGTTTAATTTTTGTAAACGGCACATGCGACAGTGTGCCTTGATATACTTTGTTCAAAGTCATGTGGAGACTGTATGAGCTTACAACTAAACATGGCCTTTTTTGATAAAAGCTTTTTAGAATGAGACTGTATCTTCTGTTTAGAAAACTTGCTGTTCAGGCTCTTGCTAACATTTCACATTTCTGATCATTATTTCTGAGTATATCTGGTTTTCACAGAATCACAGAATATTAGGAGTTGGAAGGGACCTCGAAAGATCATCCAGTCCAACCCCCCTGCCAGAGCAGGGTCACCTAGATTAGGTCGCACAGGAACGCGTCCAGGCGCGTCTTGAACACCTCCAGGGAAGGAGACTTCACAACCTCTCTGGGCACCCTGGTCCAGTGCTCTATTACCCTCACAGTGAAAAAGTTTTTCCTCATCTTTACATGGAACCTCCTATGCTCCAGCTTGCTCCCATTGTTCCTTGTCCTGTCATTGGCTGTCACTGAGAAGAGTTTGGCTCCTTCCTCCTGACACTCACTCTTTACAAATTTATAAACATTAATGAGGTCACCCCTCAGTCTCCTCTGCTCCAAGCTAAGGAGACCCAGCTCCACTCCCTCAATCATCTTTGTAGACCTGCTCTGGACTCTTTCAAGCAGTTCCCTGTCCTTCTTGAACTGAGAGGCCCAGAACTGGACACAATATTCCAGACGCGGTCTCACCAGGGCAGAGTAGAGGAGAGGGAGAATCTTTCTCAACCTACTGACCACACCCCTTCTGTTGCCATTTGCCATTCTTGGCCGCAAGGGCACATTGCTGGCTCATGGTCATCCTGCTGTCCACCAACACCCCCAGGTCCTTTTCTGCCTGGCCGCTTTCCAGCCACTCGTCCCCAAGCCTGTAGTGCTGCATGGGGTTAATGTGACCGAAATGCAGGACCTGGCACTTGGCCTTATTGAAGCTCATACAGTTGGCCTCAGCCCATTGATTCAGCCTGTCCAGGTCCCTCTGCAGAGCCTTCCTACCCTCAGGCAGATCAACACTCCTTCCCAACTTAGTGTCATCTGCAAACTTGCTGAGGGAGCACTCAACCCCCTCATCCAGATCATTGATAAAGATGTTAAACAGGACTGGCCCCAAAACTGAGCCCTGGGGAACACCGCTTGTGACTGGTCACCAACTGGATTTAGCTCCATTCACCACAACTCCCTGTGCTCGGCCATCCAGCCAGTTTTTAACCCAGTAAAACGTATGACCGTCCAAGCCATGTCCAGCCAGCTTCTCCAGGAGGATGCTGTGGGTGATGGTGTCAAAGGACTTACTGAAGTCCAGGTAGACAATGTCCACAGCCTTTCCCTCATCCACCAAGCAGGTCACCTCGTGATAAAAGGAGGTAAGATTAGTCCAGCAGGACCTGCCCTTCCTGAACCCATGCTGACTGGGCCTGATCGCTTGGTTGTCCTGCATGTGCTGCTTAATGACACTCAAGGTGATTTGTTCACCTTGGTTTTAGATCTAGGTGATGTTTTATAAATAACATGTATGGATACTTACCAGTATATCCACACATCATTCTTTTAGAACAGTCTGTCTTTTGTGAAAGAGGTTTATCTTATTTACTCTTTTTCTGTAAAGAATGGAGGTTTGCTTTGTGGATGATAGTATTCCTATGCTTTTGAAAGTATTTTGTTTTGTAAAAAGATTAGTTTCTTGTAAGAATCTATTCTGTTAATTGAATAGTGTTAATAAACAGAACACTTCATTTTACATCAGCAGAATCACCTTCACAATAAAAAGTCATTCCTTATACTTAAAATAAGCTGACACATTAAAAACAACCCACTCCATTTTTCTTATGCTTTTCTCAAAGTAAATTCTAAGTAAGCTACTTCTAGGATTAATTAGAATCATATTAATAGTTATAGTTTAGTTAAGTACTTTGGTGTTTAGCTAAATTCAAGGAGATTAAACATTTCATTCAAAACATTTCTTCTTAGTGACCTCATTTTAAACAGGATTTTAGTGAAAGGGGCTCAAATGTCTTCCTGAGCTTAGGTGTTTGTCAGAAAAAAATTCCATTGATTTTTCTTAGTTAAAAGTAGTATTGACTTTGATTTGTCAAAATTGTGATTTTTTTTTCACCTACATAAAGTTGTTGACTAAAATTCTATAAAACAAAACTCAATTTTAAGAAGTTTTATAGCCTTCCAGCAATCAGAAGATAGTAAATAGCAGATTAAAGGCTGCATATGCAGCCTGAAATTGGAACTCTCCATATACTCATTGCAATGTTATTTTCAATTGTGCAAGAAGAGGAAACATTTTCTTCTCAGCTTCTAACGAAAGTACTGTTCATCTGAGGAATGTCTAGTTCATGGTCACTGTGGCTAAATCTGTGTTAATGAATATAGATTAATAGTCTGGGTCTGTTTGCTGGCATGACATGGCTCACATCCCCAGAACCAGACTCTCTTACCTCCCAGTGCTGCATGTCTGCCTCTGGATGCCTTATTTGAAAAGGTTTCTAGTCCTAGATAGTCATTTGAGTACAAATAATTTAAACACCAGGGCCAGATTTGGTTGGTAGTATAAATCTATGCTGTGTGGTCAAGTACTCCTCTCTAAAAGCATAGCCCTCTCCTACTTCCCCCATGATACTGGTATGTTCCAGCAGAAATACAATTCTTAACGTCTTCATTAATTTTGTATGTGCTTCTCATTATGATATCTGAGTGCTGGATATCAATCTGGATTTGAAGTAAATTAGGATTAAAAAATGCGTATTTTTTTTCACACTGGATTTAGGTAACTGTGTACCCCATGTCCTTAAAACTGAAGATGATACTTGATGTTTTAAGGCCTAGAGCTCATTGGTGTCAAGAAGGTAGGAGCTCTGTGAAGGCTTAGCACCTCAGTAAATTGGGCTGGGGAAATCACAGCTGAATGAGTTGTGGAAAGTTTTGCTATTATCATCTAAGAAATCTGTTGTTTTTTAAAAAAATTGAAAAATTGACAGAACTTGATGGGTTCTATATTGTGGTGACTTTGTTCAGATTTAGCTATTCACGAAATTTTTTTTCAGAGCTTTCAATTTATGGAGCTTAAGTGTTTTTAGCAACTTCTAGCCTCTTTTGTTAGATGTCAAGAGTACTTAATTAGTTTGAAATAGACATCAGGCATAAGGAATTTTATCTCTAAGACAAACTTATAAGCAACTAAAAACTTGCAGACAGTATAGGGTTGCATATTAAGAAATGCTGGGTAACTGAAAAACATAAATAGGGCTGACCTATTTTTAAATCGTCCTTTGCACAAGTTGTATTTCATACTTTGTCAATGTATCATTTGTTTTTTTCAGTGACTCCTGTATTTGCCAGCGTTCCAAGTGACATGACAGTGGAGGTTGGCACAAATGTGCAGATCCCATGCAGCGCTCAAGGAGAGCCAGAGCCAGTAATTACGTGGAATAAGGTACCAGATATTTCTTTTGTTGTTGAGAAAGGCAGTGGCCTTTCCATCTCTTCATTACCAGCTATTTAAAGTGTGCATTGTCAAATTATTGCTTTCTCTGGTGTCTGAGAACATTACCTGAAGTTCAATCAGCAGCTCTTATTTAATACAGAGCATGATTATAGATACCAAATGTGAATATTTTATAAATTTATATATCTTTTTATATAAAATT